TATCCGGGAGATTTGAGACTCTAATCTGGAGACCAGGAGATACAGTCCAAAATCTGGAGACTCCTGGTCTATCCGGGAGATAGAGTTGACAGCCCTGGTTATATATAAACTTAAAGCTAATTAAAAGTTTACATTGGCAATTTGGAAATAATGGGCTGTGTAGCAGTGAGAGAGCTCAACTCACATCCATGTGACCCAAGTTTGAATCCCGGACTTAGTATATTATGTTAGCAGGGTCTATAACTAGTGAAATGATATAAATGCTTCTCACATGGCTTATTTTTGAACAAGGGAAAAATGACCTTAAGATTAGTAAACCTAGCATCCCAAAATTAGTAAATTTACCAAGTTTGAGAGTGATGTATTGGAAACAAGCAAAGATATAGCCATGCAAAGTCAGGAAATTTGACAGACGTTTATATGGTGGTGGGCACAAACTTGCTTCCCACYATACAATCTCAACTTTACGGAGCTATATCTTCGCCATTTTCCTTCCTATCGCCCTCTAACTTGGRAAATTTGCTAAATTCRAGGTATTTTTTCTACTGGCAAAATTGATTTTTGCTAACTTGCACATATCGAAAGTTGAAAAAAAGTGGAAGGGCCTTTTAAGTTCACTAAAAGCTATTTAATCAAAACAGAAAATCRTATAATTCTGTATGTGCTGAAGAAACCATGCAACAGCAAGGGAGCACATTAAAATTTTGTTTACGTAAAGAAAGTTATTGTTCTTCGTTGATCTATCTAACATGCGCATGCGCATGCCATCATGTGACAGGCGTTCCTCGTAGCGTTTTGGTTTCGTTGGTTTTCGGAGTAAATTCGCTAGCATGACTAAAGCAAGAAACGCCTGCCATTAAGTGTAGCGCATGCACGTAAGCAAGTACTACAAGGAACACCTACCATATCTTAATATGTGAGATAAAATCRAAGATAAACCAACACAATCAAAATTTTAACATGCTCCCTTGGCAACAGCCCACTAATTGGCATTTTAGGTCATTCAACCAATTTCCATGGAAACCCTCTCTAGCCACCTTAAAGATAAGCTTTCAACTCTTTATTCATGTTACCTGGATTCTTTTTAAACGCGTAAACATGTATTCTGCTACCAGTACTTCCAGCATCAAACATTATTCCATACTCCAAGTATCGTCGGGCGAAAGAAACGTTTCTCGAGAAGTGGTCGGTTCTAGAAAAATTCCCTTCCAACGAGAAATTGTTGAAGGCTCTTGCGAGAAGTCCAAACAATAACAGCAGTATTAATACTAAACCCATGGCCTTGTAGCTTTTGAAAGGATTCCTTGATTTCAATAAGCTCTTTAAGCTGACTTGTGAAGGACTTCTCCTAACAGACGACCCTCCTGGAAAGTCGAAAAGTTCCTTGAAGTCTTTYCGTTTTCCTGAACGCCCAAATTCAAACTTTGACTTCATGATGAATGTTACACGTATCCATATAATATATATATAAAAAAAAGGATTTGTTAAAAAATAATATCGAGGACAATGAGTCCTTAAAGCATTGCTTGGTTGTCAGTCTTGGTAGATTTTACAATAAAAAGAAGAAAAATGCAACTTCTTCCCTCGCGTAGAAGCCATACGTAAAACCTCGGGCGGAGAAGATGTTCAAAATGGCGTGACTGCAAACATGACTAAATTATTTGACGTAATGCTGTAACGCTTTACATCGTAATGTTCTATCCATCCCCGTATATTATATTCGTACGAAAAATCATCCTACTATCTAGTAATATTCATCCGGATTTCAATGCTTATACAAAACGATAATCAGAACTACTGGTATTACGAGGAGAAAAAGCAAGTTAGCATAAATAAAAATCGATATAGCCCTGGTGAAGCATTTCTTTTCACAATTTCATAACTCTGTCATTTCCGCCTTCCTTTCGAATTGTTTCCGCGTTTGAAATTTTCGTTCACGTCAATTTAAAACGTAAAAATGGAATCTGAAATCACATCGATCGTTCATTACCTCATTCGTTTGTCCTTTTATTAATTGTTATACATGTCCTTGGGTTATTTCCGATGATGAGTGCTTTGGAATGAATAACATGGCAGTGAATAATGTGATCTGCTAGTCCTCGTCCTCACGGAAATCCTACGAATTGACTGGATAAACGTCATCACCCCCCTCCCCCCCCCTTCNATGTTCTAATTATGTTTACCAATTTTTTCTAGTTTCAGCAAACCCACCATTCGTATAATTTCTAGTAAAAAAGCCTATATTTTGAATCTGCGAATTGAATGGAATGGAAAATGAGATTTTAAGGGTCACTGCACCAGAATGGGATTCCATCTTCGCCCGTGATGTAGTCGTGTCACAGCCACATCACCTCAATGAGCCCACAATATTATGTCAGATAATCTACCTCATAATACATGCGCAAGTGAATGGAGATAAATCACGTGACCCATTTCCCGCCATATCACTGACAATATTTTCTGGACATTCTGCATTTCCGAAGCCTATTAATCACACATTACGATCAGATTGTTTAAATAAATAATATTTTTCTCTTCCTTGTTCGGTCAATTTTCTACGCAAATTATCATTTGGATCGTCTCATCGCTTTTGCTTGCTATCTATTTTCTTATAAACTGTTATCGTAATTATGTTTTTCCTATTTAATAAGAGGTTGTTGAAATATCATTTATTACATAAACGAAGGTTTCGAGTCGGTTTCGAGACTAAATTTTAAAAACAAAAAACAAAAAAATTTGTTTTACTAGTCCACCCCCGAAGGGATAGTTTTGCTTCTTCCCGTCATGCATTTAGACGCGCACCCACATGCTTTCTTTCTCTTTGCGTTGAACAAGATGGGACACTCAAACGTGTGGTTCAGTCATTCTCGTACTTACGGCGCTGGCTCGCGATCCTGGTTAGTTAATCTAGTTATTTTACCATTTATTTCAACCTAAAGTAATAATCTTTTGATTTAGGAACTCAATTTTATCGCACAAGCAAAACTTAATAAGGAATTACGTCTCGAAAACTTCAGTCGAATCCAAAATGGCGGCAATGAATTCCATGGTCTTGCGGCCAAATGGCTTTAAATAAATAAATTAGTGTTAAAAAGCTAAAGGAATTTGTATGTAAAACTTGTTTAACGCTTTACGGTATTTAGTTTTGCTTAGTTGCATTTTTTATCCGTGCTTGATAAATGAATATTAGGAAAGAGCAAGCCATGAAGCCTTGAATTTCAAAGTTTTGCATAATAAATATTCAAGATTACCGTATAAAAAAGCTTTGTTTGAAAGGAAGTCAATTTAATTGATTCCTTTAAGATATCCCTATAATCAAATCCTTCCATCGCAAAGATAGTCCATAGCATATACTGTAAATGGAAATATAGAACTAACAGTGCGTGATAAACCCAAAGTATGGATGAAGTGCCAAGACCATGGTATTAGTATACTGTATCCAAACATGATTGGATGAGCAGTAATCTTTCAAAAAGGATGTTGTCAATTCTATACCCTTTATACAGCACTATGTGACATGCCATCATGCCATTTAACAGTTTTCTAACGAAATTGGACTTTACTTGGCTCACCTTAAACTTTTCTCCATTTGAAATCTCTTAAGAATAAGATTATTTACTAGCATTTTAGCATACCAATACACCTCCTCAACCTTTGTTGATAAAGCAAAGAAATAACAAGGGAAAGACAAGTTATTTTAAAGAACAAATTAAATCAATTCATTGGCCAGTATAGTTGTATTTTAGCCTAAGATTATCATTTGTTTTATGTAATTTGGCTGTTTTCTTTTTGTAACATGTATAATTTGTTTTTCCAGCCGTGTGTGCTTCAACCACCATGGTCTTATTCGCAAATATGGTTTAAATATCTGCCGTAGATGTTTCAGGCAGTATGCCAAAGATATTGGCTTCCAAAAGGTATGTCTTTTGTATTATTAAGCACTGTTGAAACTTGAATCAAAATCATGAAGAGTGCATGGCAGAGCCACCAATATCTGGAATAGGCAAAAGTTTTTTCCAGATTTTTTACCTGGGAACTGTGATCTGCATATCTAGCAGGGCTTAAAAGAATAACCCATTGTCGGTTATGATCACTGGACAAATCTTGGCTTGGTTTTACCTCATTTACTGGTCAAAATTCCGGACATCGAGTGAAGGCTCGCTGTTATTTCATTATTTTATTTATTGATGCCTATGCTTTTATATGCATTTATAGTTCTGTTCAACAATTTTCCTGCATAGGGACAAAATGTGGGTTGAAAGAGACCTWTCCCGAATTCGCTTGACTGACCACGAAACAATGGTTTGAAGTCGAGACTGAACTTGGTTCTTTTATTCATCAAGTTCAACCTCGACTTGAAACCATTGTTTCGTGACCAGTCAAGCAAATTCGGGATTGGTCTATTGGAAAACATTTTATTATCCCAGTTATGTATATAAGCATATAAATGCTCCATAAGAACTTTGGTAGCTTTACTTCCATGTACATAAAAAAATGTTTTTTAAACTACATACAACAATATGCTTAGTTTTTTCCATTTGTTTTCAGTTCCACTAAAGGAATAAATGGAATTTTACTGTTACAATAAAACAATTGTCAAGAAATGGAGACAATGTTTTTATAAAGAAAGAAGACAAGAGTCAGGGAAGATGAATGATGGAAAGAACGGTGTTGTATTGTATTACTGTAATAGTAAAGAATAAAATCTGAAATATAACAGTTTCTCTTTTTTCTTTGTTGGGAGTTTTCCGTATATTACTTCACATGCTTGTTCCCATACCGTAATACAGCTTGGGGTGCCTATGGTTAGATGGCAGAGCAAAATGCCTTTGCTCTCGTTAATTGAATTCTTTTGTAAAAATGATCGTATTGTCCCTAGCATCTAACATGGCTGCTGTCACGTGATGGTGCAAAGCCTCTAGAGTGAAGAATACTAGTCAACGTGTAAAAGAAAGCAGTGGTATTAGGGTCTACCAATGTGTATTTGTCTAATATCTATTTCACAGGATTAGTGACTTCACTCGATCTCCAAACACAAAGTATCTTTTCTTACACTTTGGCAGATAAGAGTTCTTGCAAATGATAAGAGAAAAATAAAAAATTTCAGTGTTTCTTGGATGGTAGATTACAATTTAATTCGTACTGTATTTTATATTGCCTTTATTTCATTTTCAATTTCATCCATTGTTACTGGCACCACAATGGCCGCCATGTTTTTGTCTTTTCACTCTATTGGGAATGTTTGCAACCCATCAATAGTCCATTAGATGTAGAAGGAATAAATTAATGGCAAGAATGTTTTTGCTGAATTGTCATTTAAATTGCCAACCAGAAACGGTGAATCATCCAACAAACGAGTGACAAAGCCTATTAAAAGTTGTTGACACATAAGAGATGTTTTCATAGTGAAATATACCTTGGCTTATTCAGTGCTTTTGCACTTTTTTGTTTTCTATTGTATACATCACTCATAATGCAGGGCCATAGCCACCAACCAGACTAACTTTCAGGAAAAAAATATAAGACAAATTTTAARAATGTAAGAAAAACCGAAAACCGGACCAAACACAAATTTGTGGCTACAGCCGCTCTGTAATGGACAATGGACCTTTCTCAAAATAATCTTGAATGCAAGGCTACTGTAACATGAAAATACAAAAGAAATCACAATTTTTCTCGATGGAATTAGCGGCATTTCTCTTGCAATTTTATGTTAGCCTCACATTCAATATAATTTTGGAAAGGCCTAGGGTCCATCCCAATCACCAAGTTAGAATAACTTTCACTTTTTAATAAAATCTGAGTCAAGTTTGCCTAGTAGCTGAGGAACACAAAGAAACTGGCGCCCAAGGGCAGATCCCCTTCAGCAGAAAAAAACAAACAAAACAAAACTGAAGAATGATATGCTTTTTTCATTGTTTTCCGTTGTGTTGACGGAAGAAACTTAATTAGCACCCCCAAACTCAATTGTCTCCCCCCCCTGAAATTTTGGCTGGGTCTGCCCTTGGCACCATGCACAGCTTGCAGGTCCTTACAGGGTAATCTAGGTTGGTTTGGTGCCATAAAGTTAATTTTTTTTAATAGAAAGCAAGACCATTTATCACTTTATTATTTTTATACAACAATAAAGGCATATATTTTATCTGTATTGCATTCTTGGTTATCCTAAGTTATCTATTAATGTGCGGCATTTGCTTCTTAATTGAAAAGTTGGCCTAGCCAAAGTGAATAAGATGATTTGGAGCCCAGAGTATCCTGCATGTTTTGTGCAACAAAGAGAAAAAATTACAAAAAAAAACCTTGTCTTTACCTCCACTACTATAATTATACCCCGGAGGGGCTACTCTGCCAGAATGTGGGTAGGGGTGTTCCGCTCGGATTCTGAAAGGGGTACCCTATTTATGACAAAAAAAAATCAAATTTGTAGACCCTGTTTATGGCAAAAGATATAATTTATTGCACTGAGTTCCTGTTTCAATTATCACGTCATCTCACGTATCRTTTTTTATGACCATAATAACCAGTTTCGGTCAATATGAAAGTAGAAACCCTGAATATGACAGGAAACTCAGGAAAAACTTGGAACTCGAGTGAAATTGCATACCCTGTTTATGATAAGAAGCTTGAAAAACCATACCCTGATCAGTGGATCATCCCCGCATAGTCCATATATGGGAGTACCCCCCAGGAATTATACTAAACCAACAACAAATAAGTTCCCTTCCTCTGTCTTCTCTTCCCCTTTGGTTTGCAAGGATGACAAGCTACTGTAGATGTCAATGAACCCTCAATTTATTATGGTGGTTCGCTGTTGTAATCTTTTCCCAATTTACACCACCATGTTCTCTTGAGAAAAAAATTTTTTTGAGTTGTATTCACATTTCATGTGTCTTCTAATAAACAACCGAAAAACAACCGTTTAAGAAATGATACTCTATATGGAAAATGTATTAAATGTAAAAACATGAAGCTCAAACTATTGATTGAATCAACTGTCAACAAAAGAACGAAAGAAAAGCTGCATCTCTAATGAGCTATAAATGATGGTTTTTAAGAAGTTTTTTTGTAGTTTTTAAGAATATAGAATTGTGCATATTGCTAGATTTATTATAGATTTATCACTTTGTCTTAGTGATCATCAAATCCAGGCATGGGAAATCCTCTCGCAAACTCTTCCACTTCTTTTCTTAAACCCGCTATTTTGTCTAAGGTTGCTTGGTCTTTATGAATGAATGCCAAGAACTCTTTGAGATTGTCTCCTGCAGAGTAGAATATTTAAAAAATCAACATATTGAAAAATGCTAAAATCTCCTTCAAGGGTTGCCCAGCTGGGCCTATAGTTGTACAAAGGGTGGAAAGTGCTATCTGATAGATAAATTCTTATGCAGTGGATAGGCCTATTCACCCTTTGTAAACCGGGATTTGGTTTGTAACATTGTGTAGTGAAGATATCCATATACCCCACCCACAGATGACATTGGAAATTCTGGAGGGGAGGGGGATAAGAGACAGAACAAAATAACAGAGTTTGTATAGAAGAAAATTGGAAGTTCCTGGGGGAAGGTGGGGTCTTTTTATGAATTCCCTATATGGTGGGGAAATGGATATTTTTCTGGAACTACACATTAAATTGAGTATCTGAAAAAATTCTTGAGTTCTCTTACCTGTGGTCTTCTGAGCTTCCAAAGCAATTTCAACGCCCTTGTCGATATATTCCACTACACGTTCAAAGTCATGTTCTTTGAAGTTACGAGAGGTTAATGCTGGGGTACCTGACCAATAAAAGGAAGATAAAACAATAGAAAATTTAAGAAATATTTCTTAATGTTTTCATTTCAAATTAGTATGTTAGTATTCTATACATTTGGTATACAATGAAAGGGTTGTTTGTATATTTGCTTCCCCTCCATACCCTAAAACTGTTGTAGCTAATCACCACGGCAAAGTACAGCGATGGCCCAGCTCAACAGGGTTGAACTGAAAGCATGTAAAGGGGCCTCTGGCAGCTGCTATACAGTCCATGTATGACCCCGAAGCACAGCTCTGGCCAGTTTGAATTAGGTGTTATTTGAGAGGAGGGAGGAAAAGCCAGAGGACCAGAAAAACCTTCAGTGCCAAAAAGAGAACCAACCAGCTCTTACATGGGGTGACTGGGTGTGTGCCCACAAAATGTTCTCTTTATGCCCTCTCCTCCCCCCCCCCCCCCCCCAAATGGGTGGAGAGGAGCACTGTGAATATGAAAATACTGCCTTCACCCTAAAGTACCACGTTCACCCTAAAGTACCACCTTCACCCTAAAATACCACCTTCACCCTGAAGTACCACCTTCACCCTAAAATACCACCTTTACTCAAAGATACTGTCTTCGCCCTAAAATACTGCCTTAACCCTAAGATACTGTCTTTACCCTAAAATACTACCTTAACCCTGAAATACCACCTTCACCATGAAATACCACCTTTACCCTAAAGTACCACCTTCATCCTAAGATACTGCCTTCCCCCTCCAGGCCTCAAACCCCACACACCAACAATCTCTCTAAAAATTCTGTTCAACATACCCAGTCTCAGACCACCTGGCTTCAGAGCACTTCTATCTCCTGGACAGGTATTCTTGTTAGCAGTAATGGATACTGCTTCCAGTACTTTTTCTACTTTTGCACCATCAATTCCCTGAAATATCAGTCCATCAAAAATAGTAATTTATAGAGAAAAAGGTACAGTGACGAGTATTGTGAACTTCACTTTCCTTTCCTTCCCTCCTTATTCTCTTCCCTTCTCTTCACATCTCTTTCATTTTCTTATTTTCTTATTTTCTTTTTCTTTCCTTTTTTTCAGATCTTTTTCATTTTCTTCTTTACTTTCTCTTCCTTTTCTTTTGTTCTCTTTTTTTTCTGTCCTCTTCTCTTTTCTTCAAGCTACTCTCTTCTCTTCCATTCTTTTCTACCCATTGAATCAACTTCAAATTTTATCAATACCATGAAACAGCCTCTGGGCTGATCAAAGTCAGGGTAAGCCTACCTCACAGATTGAATTGGAATTTAGCTTGTTAGGTTTTGCATAGGGAGGAAAAGAGGAGAGAGGCAAGTACAGGACTGCAACTCCACCACTGATTCACTAAACCAGTTTTTCCTCCCTAGCTTCTCTTTGCTACCCTCCCCTCCCCTCCCCTCTTCTTGACTCCCTTCATTGGCAATATAGCATACATCTAAATCCCAAATGGCGTACAGCCAGTTGAAAATGAGGCATCCAGGGCCAAACTTACAAATTTACAGTATTTTCTGAATGCAAGAAAGAAAGAAAGACAGAACAAGTGTATACTTTGCATTGTCACCATATTATTTCTTTGCATTTGGCCCTGGATGCCTTGTTTTCATGTAACACACTTGGCCGTGCGCCATTTTGGACTTAGTTGTATGACATGCGGTTATGGGACTGTGTACAACAGTAAAACAACATTACCTTGGGTCTTAGATCAAGAAGAATAAGATGGTTATCTGTTCCTCCTACAAAAAGATTTCAAATAGAACACAATTATAAACTATTACAGAACAAAAAGAAATTCTTGTTAACAAAAATTAAAAGTGTTTCTTCTATGTGTAATTTTATATTTTTTAATATCCAAGCTTTCTGGCCACTTGGCCCATTATCAGGGATTGAAATTACAAATCTAAGCCAGTTATAGCAAAAGAAAACAATATGTGACACTTAACTGCACATGCTTGATGCAAATCACTATGCGCATGCATATAAACTATGATGGAACATTCTATTTCTTGGTTTCGCTTACACCTTTTTTTGTCTCATGCAGAATGTTTGAATGCGTCAGCTGATTTGCAAGTTTCTGGCTGACAGTACAGTGGCGGATCCGGGGGGGATGGGGG